CAGCACAGTTGGTTCTTTCCTGGGGCTGGGAGGGAAGGAGCTGTTCCAGGCCTCTCGTGGCTCGCAGGTGGCCGTTTTCCTGTCCACGCGGCGTGCTGCCTGTCTGTCTCTGCGTCTTCCCTGTTTATAAGGATGCCAGTCATGTGGGATTAATGACTGATGACTGAATTTTAACTTGGTTACTCTGTCTCCAAGTAAGGTCACATTCCAGCGTACTGGGGTTAGAGCTTGAGCACAGGAACGTGGTGGAGGGACACCATGGTGGAGGGTCTTCCTCCCCATGCCAGGACTCTTTGATTCAGCACCTCTGTGCCAGGAGCGTCTCTGTCCCACAGGGCACTTGCGAGACGCTGCCCGCTGAGGCAGCTGCCCACCTGGGCACTGTGGGGCAGGGAGCGCGGTGCCGAAGCCAGCGCGGAGGCCTGGCCCTGCCGCTCTCGCTGGCAGCTGGCGGGGCCCAGGCTCTGGTGCCAGCAAGGCGGGCTGCGGCCGCCGCCCCTGCCTGAGCAGCTCTCCCAGCGGCCTCTGGCTCTGCCAGCCCTCGGGTGGCACCGTGCCCTGGCCGGCTGTTGGCGAGGGGGGTGAGCAACAGAGGGAAGGGACTCCAAGGCACGTGAGTGTGGCCACAGGAAGTGGGACGCTGTGGTCAGCAGCTGGCGGTGAGCGGCTCTAATTTAATTACAACAGCAGGGGCGGCTGCGGCCACAGAGAGGGCGGCCCCTCGGGCAGAAAGCAGCTCCTTGGCTCGTGCAGACGCCCAGCCCACCGGCCGGGTGCTGACAAGGCTGTGAGTTTGTGCTTAATGAGGCACCAGCAGTGCTGGGCCTGAGCCTTGGGATGGCAGAGCTGCAGCCCACCTCCCGCCAGGGCCCGCGGGGACAGATGAGCAAAGCAGGCCCTGCCACCGGCCAGCAGGGAGCAGCGACGGGAGGGCAGGGTGAGCAGGTAGGCAAGGGGCAAAGGACAAAGGGCGAGACCAGCACAGGTTGAGGTGTCCCTCCTCCAGACAGGCCATCTCATCCAGGGAGTGTGGCCCTGGGGTCAGTCCCTTGCCCCCCTGGTCCCAGCCTCCTCCAGGGGACAGGGAGTGAGGCAGACCACACTCGCCTCCCTGGAAGTGTGTTCCGCAGAGAAGGGGAGGAGAGAGGTCTGCGGAATTACGGCACAGATGGCTGCTGGCGCTTGTTTATCTTTAATAGTTTCTCCTTCTCATTTTTCTAAAATAGCAGTGCACATAGTAGAAAGAAAAATCCAAATGGGAAAAAAGGATTTAAAGTGACAAACAAGCTTGGCCCCGCACCCCTTGCCCACCCTCCCCCAACGGAGGCAGCCTGTCCAACTGGTTTCGTGTGTGTGGATCCTTCCAGAAATAACCCGTTTCACACATAAGGGGACGTGTTTGGAGCACTGCACCTTGCTAAATTCTGGAAATTATTCCATATCGACGCACACTGCCTTGCTCTCCCTCACAGCTGCCTCGCAGGTCACCGTGAGTCTGGACCATGATTCACGTAAGCAGAAGCGCTGGCGGGCGTCGAGCGTGTTCCCAGTCTCTTGCCAGAATAATCAATGCTCCATCGATCGCCCTCGTGCTGGAATCTACAAGCATAGGCGCATCCATAGGCTCTCTCCTTAGAGGTGTCTTTGCCAATCTGCATGGTTAATTGTCACAGACAGTGCCAGTTGCCCTTCCTAGAGGAAGGTACCAACGTGCACCCTCACCTACAGTCATTGAAAATGACTGTTTCCTCGTAACCTTGCCAATAGGTGTGTTATCAACATTTGTCATATTTGCCAATCCAGTGAAAAACGGTGTCTGATCATTGTTTGCAATTGGATTCCTTTGATTGTGAATGAGAGTGGATATAATTTTGTTTGTTTGGGGTGGCGTCAGTGTAAACTCCAGAATCCAACCAGAAGGTTTAAGCTCCAAGGTCTTGCTGGGCCTGTGGGGTCAGGGGTGATACTTGGGCATGAGCAGCAATCTCTCTCCTCTCTGAGGGGCCCATCCTGTAGCAGGCGAACCCCTGAACAACCGGCAGCCTGGTTTTCCTCCTCACTTTTAGCAACTTGCTGTCTAGGATGGTGGTTGCCTACCAGGCCTGGTGGCCATCTAGAAAGGTTTAGAATGACGCTGGGCTCCTTCACCTCTCCTGACAATGACCCCAAAGTGATCCACTGCCTTCTGCTTGCTTATTTTCATTCATTGCTTCACTGAACGAAATTAAGATTTGTGAAGTACCCACTTCTAGAGTTATACAGAAACAGGAAGTCAATCCACTTGTTTACAGAATTTTAAATTGTAGGGAAGGAAAAGACAAACAATTAATTACAGCATCACATGATGGGTTCTATGATAGGGAAGAACAACATACAGGCACAAAACCAACCAGGGAGGTCCAGGAGGCTTCCTGCAGGAAGTCGCATCAAAGCTGGGACCTAGGAAGAGACCGCCAGCCAGGAGCACATGGGAGGTGTCCCGGAAGAAACCAAGAAGTTGCGTATAGCAGTGTGGCTGCGCACGCCAGGGTCTGGGAGAGAGTTGCAGGCCCAGATCTCAAGAGTGTCACAGCTCGGCAGAGGCCATCAGATTGTATCCTGTGGACTCCAGGAGGGATTGGGGAGTTTTCAGTGCCATGGTCTTATTTGAGGCTAGCCCAGCTTACTCGAGCAAGAGTGTTGGCTTGGGCAGGCCTGGAGGCCAGAAATCAGTGTCCAGCCTCCCCATGGCTTGGCCAGCTCTTAACAACAGCCCCAGCCACAGCCAGGCAGTCTCAACACTGCAGCACACCAGAGCCCTGAGCAGTGGTCCCCAAGAAAGGACAGCAGTGGGCTGTGGGGGCCCAGGTCAGGGCTGAGGCTGCTGCTACAGGGACAGGACACCAGTGGCCTGAGATCTGTGTCCCCAGCTCTGCTGCTGCTTTTGCGCACAAAGTATCACCAAGTGTCCCTGGACAGCCACCTTTGAGGCAGTCCTGGTTTTTGAGGACATTATGAACTCTATCCTTCTGTTTTTAGTTTCTTGGAGAAGGTCCTCTTGGTCCCTTTTGCCCATAGCAGCAGCCACTATTCTTGCCACGTACCCAGCCCAGGAATGCAGGGAGAAGGACAAATGTACTTCAGCGATGATTTTGGCAATCCTCACTGATTGCTGTCCAGGCTCATAAAATACGGCGCTTAATCGTCATGGCAATTGGGGCAGGCAATCTGAAAAATAATTACTGCCTTCTTTGAGATTACTTTGCCTTCTAATTAAAATCTCAAGACTGGGATATTAAAGGTGCATTGTCAATACAGTGTCCCGGCTGCATCCGGCTAACCTCGTTGGGGAAGGCGAAATTAATTAGTTTGTGTTTTAGCACCCAGCTGTTATCCTAAGGAAAGAAACAGTCTACAAGTCGGCCACGGACACAGTCTCTAAATTGGCCAGGGCAACTGAGGGGATGTAAAGGAAATCGAGAGTGATTTGTTCCTGTATAACTCAGTCAGCTTCTATTCCGAGCTGCTCATTAAGTGGCACTCCCGTGTCCCCGCCAGACATCGCGCAGGGGCTCTTGTTTACCTGTGGAGGCAGAACAGGAAGTTAAGTGGGTCCTGCCACGCCACCGAGCCCCCGATCCATTCTGGAGCCTCGCTGCGGTCAACACCTTTCCCGGTTAGCGGCGCTGGGTGAGAAGCCTGGCCCCGGAGCTGAGGGCTTGGGCGTTTCTATTCCTGTCCCAGCTTTGTTCTTGCCTGCCTCTTTCCATTTTCCAATTCCACCGGAGCCCAGCATTTGCTGAGTGCAATAGAAGTCAGGACGATCAATTCTAGGCTGTGCTACAACAACGCACCCCGAGACGCCGGTGCTTGAGCACAACAGAAGCTTATTTCTCACTCTCGCCAAGTGTGATGCAAGCTGGCGGGGGTGGGGGCGCCCTCTTCCAACCAGCGATCCAGGAACCGAGGCTTCTTCCGTCTCAGGCTGACACCGTCCTACCAGGAGGCTTTGAAGTTCTCCGAGGCAAGAGAAGAGAAAGTGGGAGAACCTGCCCTGGAAGAACATCAGCCAAGAAAGGGCACGTGTCTTCTCGCAGCCCGTGGGCCAGGACTGGCCGCGTGGCCCCAGCCCAGTTACGGGGGATGCTGGGAGACGCAGGACAGCGCCAGCGGTGTTTGTCGGGCGCAAGTGTCTCCGCCGCGGCGCTTTGAATACGGCACACGCTGAGCCTGGTGCCTTTGAAACCTCCTACAAAAGGGTGTAAGGTGGGGTCCCCGGTCTTGGGGAGATCACAGAGGAGTTTTGTGGGGCAGCCCCACTCACACAGTAATGAATGACCGGCCCGGGTTGCTGGGCACAGTCAGAGAAGCAGACAGGAAGCATAATGATCGCATGGAGGTCATTAGCACAGTCTGAGCTGGGGAGAAGAGGGTTAGAACAGAAGCAATATTTCAGGAAGATGTGATGCGTGCGCTTTCGTTTTGGAAGGGGGGAAATAAGAGTTCACCAAAGGGACATGTCGGGAGAGGCAAGGGGGTGTAGCACATGTCTGTGCAGCCTCAGAACCACCCATGAACTACTCGGATGTCTCATCGCTGGTTAAATTCTTCTCTCCCCCTTTCCAGGCATACTGTTGATGGCCTGAAAAGAAATTCATTTCTGAAGGCCTTCCCCTGCTGAGGCCTTACTGTCCGAAAATAAACAAACCATTGTTTATTTTGGCCAGGGTTAGGCCTTGTATTTGCTCAGGGAGTGAGCATGGGTGAGATGGTCTTCTATGGGGACACTGCCGGTGGCTCGAGTGTCCCTGGGTAGCATCGGCCTGCAGCTGCAGCCAACATACTCCCAGCTCCAGCCCTGGGGTGAAAAATGCCCAAGACCCAGGAGTCTTGGAAGCTGCGTTCTGTCCAGATCTGTCCACTCAGCTGCACGGGAAGCTTCTCTCTTCTCAAGCAAGTACCCGGGACTCCCACATTTTCCCCTGGGAAATGGAAGAATGGGATGAGTTCAATCTAGAAGGCCCATGGATTTACTACACGGACACAGCCTATTGGATTCACCCAATACGGCCTCACGTGGTGGTGTGGTTTTTTTTAATTTATTTTAATTATTTTGCCAATATTTAAAAATTTGGAGAATATGCATAAAAATCTAGATTTCTGATGTTCAAAAAGATGAGAAGATCTTAGAGCATCATACTGGACAATAATAAAACTGGGCACCCAATAAGATGCCCCAGTCCCCACCGCTCCCCACTGCCATGGCAACGCTGAGGCCAGGTGTCAGTTTCCCTTACACGTGCCCCAAATGCCAGCTCACTCGGTTATATCCCCTGCCAGGCTGCTGAGCTACGTGGGTTCTCTGGGCCCAGTCATCTTTGAAACTCTATGACAATTCCTAACGCTTACTCTTTTTCTCTAAATATATCTCATCTTTGGGTTCTTTTGGCAGAACCACCTACCAGGCAGAACAGGACTTAGTCTTAGCTGCACATTTGAATTTCTGGGGGAGGCTGTAAAAATCCCAGTGTCCAGGCTGCACCCGGGAGTGAGATTCTCGCGTCTCTTAAAGCGCCAGGTGACTCCGGTGTGCAGCCTAAGTTGAGGACCTCTGTGTCAGAGCTGGAAACGCAATGCGCCGGTTTAGGAGCAGGCGAGCTCCCTGTGATGGGACGTGGACAAGGGCTTTGCAGGGGTGTGTGGGAGGATCCCTACATCAGCTGCTGCTCTTCTGGGATTTTTCTCCTGTTTATGTTCCCCTTGCCTTCGTCCCCCAGAGCTCTCCAAGCTCAGCTTAGCTCTGCTGAGCACAGACAGTGCCGAGGTGTCTCAGGAAGGGCTCTTTATCCAAGAAGTCCCAACCTCAGCATCAAGCATCCCGCAAGCCAGCACTGTGCCTCCGGTATTAGCAGATGGGCACACACGGCAGTCCCAGGACAATCACATTAGACCGGCCCCATTCCTGGCTGCCACGAGTCTGCTGGGGCTGCAACACGAAGGGGAAAGAACGTGGACCTGGAGTCAGAAGGCCTGGAGGGAAGCCCTGCTTCCTCTCCTCGCCACCTGAGGACCTTGCTCCGTCCTCGTGCCCCGTGCAGGGCCTGGGTCTATGGTGCCTGTTAGGGTCGAGGACACCCTGTAAAGTGCTGGGTGAGGGTAAGATGCTGAGAGGGGACTACTGGGGTTGGGCCAGGTCTCAGTTGGGTGACAAGGTGGGGAGGGGAGGAGCCATGTAGCGTGGGTAGGAAGGTTTGGAAAGAGAGAAAGGGGCATGCAAGGGGCTGTTCAAACCAGACAGACCTCACCTAGAGCTCAGAGCAGAGCTGAGATGTAGGCAGCTATCTAATACCCTCGATCACAGTATTACCACTTGCAAGCACCCAATAGCTGCAGGCAGTACTTTTAGCATCTCAGGGATTCTTTGGGAAGTGGCACCAGTTCTCCACCTGGCCAGGGACTCCCCAATGTCAGCGTGCCGGTGGTGTCTCCTGGTCTGAAGCTGGGACAGCTGACTCCGGCTGCCCCTCACCCCAGCAGCAGGTGTGCCCGGGGGCCGTTCCAGCCTGGCCCATCCAGGCATCCAGAGGGAAAGGGCAGCGGGGCAGGAATGGACGTCGGCGCAAGCCCGCTCTGTGTCCTGGGCAGAGCAGCACATGCGGAAGGCAGATGCACGGCTTCTGGTTTCTTCTGGCCCCGGCCTCCCTGTGGCCAAGGAGAAGGGACCTCAGGAGCTTCGAGGGACACACGGGGAGAGCAGCAGGAAGTCTGGCCCAGACCCAGCCAGGGCCTCAGTGGGACGCGCTACCCATAGGCTGCCCCTTGCATTCCCAGATCTTTTTCTTAGAGACCAGAGTCCCCCTGCCCCAGCCCCCTACCTACCCCATAGAAAATGCGCCATGGCCCCGTGGAATCACAAATAGAAGAGGAGAAAAAGAAAAACCAAGCATACACGCAGGACCCCTCGCTTCGGCAGCAGCCATGCTTCTCCAGGCCCCCAGGGCAGGGACGGCAGGACAGGCAGCAGCTCGGCCGGAAAGGCATGCGTGCACACTGCAGCCCGGTGAGAAGAGACTGGTGTGCAGGTGACCACAGCTGCCCTGAGGGACACACTCTGCACAGCCCAGAGACAGGGCAAATGCACAAAGGAGTCTCCATCCGGGCCATGATGAAGGGGGCCTATGACACAGCAGGGCGCGGTGGGCGCTGCGGCCATTTGCTCTGAGCAGGAGCCGCGGTGAGAGCTGCACCCATGGGTGGCAGGGGCCACGTCTCGTTCTGCACTGTGGAGCTTGGATCGTACCTGGGAGAGGAGAGCAGGGAGAGGTTTCAGAGAACTGCCTGGAGGGCTACTAGGTGGAAGGCAATGGCCTAGCGAGCTGTCACATAGAGACCACACCCCGCAGGGAAGCAACGATGAAGAGCTGCAGCGAGTGCACAAACTCCTCCTCCTGTTATTTCTCAGTTGCATTGTGTTTGCAGTGACCGAGCCCCCGCCCTCTTCCCTGCCTTTGTCCCTCCCTCTGAATCCCAGTTGGAAAATTTAGCTACCAGCAAGTTTCTTGGCCCAGACAGGATGAAAGCGTAGCAAGTTCGAGGAAAGGGGTCTTCCCATGACAGGCTTATAGGACAAGCGAGGGGCCGCCCAGGAGGCTCCTACCGTGCCCGGGATCCCCACATCCACTCCGCCGCTGGCCACCTGGGACCACGGCCTCCACCAGCAGTGTGGAAGCAGAGGCACTACTCTCCCTGGACTGACAATCCGGTTGGGGGCGGTGGAGATGCATTTTACTTTATCGAATATTACAATGCTTTCCTGAAATTATATGGCTTATTGGGGATCTTTAACCTCGTCTGATTCACAGGCTAACACTTCCTCCAAACAAGCAAATGAAAAGGATTTAAGGTGGACTCTCTGGAACGTTTGGGGGGTTTCCTTTCTAAAGAAGGAACCATTTTGCAAAAGGAAAGTAGTATCTGCACCTGCCCTCTGCAACCTTTAGCCAAAAGCACTGAATAATACAGAACAGTTTCACCTTTCGGCAACGTGCAAATGTTTTGTCTGGCATACGTTTACTTCTGGCAGGAATTTAATTGGTGTCTTGGAATGTTGCAGCCTGGAAGATAGCTCGGAGACCACCTGGACTATGCCCCGTCATTGCATAAATGTGAAAAATTAGATTCAGCAGGGAGAAGTGACTTGCTCCAAAGCGCACAGATTGTTGGTGACAGAACTGTCACTAAAACTCAAGTCTTCTGAATTATTTACCTCCTCCGTGCCTGTTTCCTCGCCTGTGAAATGGAGATGGTGTCCCCCTCACTGCACCCTTGGTTCGGACGCACCTGACACCCTGCTGGCTCCAGTTCCCCACGCCTCCCCTCGTTGCCCTTTGGCGAGTGCACGGAGGCGGGAAGCAGGGGCTCTGTTGCAGAGGTGGGGGCACCAAGATGTGGTGACGGGTGTTTAGAAGGAAAAGAACGGGCGGAGCCCAGCCTCCCAGGGCAAACCACTGTTTAGTGCCCTTCAGCCTCCCCCTCCTCCTCCTCCTCCCCCCTCCTCCTCTTCTTCCCCTCCCCCTCCTTCTCCTTGACTCCTGATTCCAGGAGAGTCACCTGTGGTCAGAGACGGGCTACTGCACCAGAGGGTGGGGCTCCTGCTTGGGCAGGGACAGGAAGGTGCTCAAGCGGCAAAGGCGGAGTCAGGAATGGCGGTCTGCAAAGGGGAGCCCGGCAGTACCCCTGAAAGGCAGTGAGCACCATGTGACAGCAGGCACTTTATCCAAGGCCAGCAAAGTACCACTGGAGGGCCAGCCCTGCCACACCCCTGTGTGGTCTGTGGCTCTTTCATTCTACAACTACACAGAGGGCCAGTAGTTGCAACTGGGACTATGTGGCCACAAAACCATAAGCATTTATTATCTGGCCCTTTACAGAAAAAGTTTGCTGACCCGAGTCAAGGTGTCGCCGCTTTCTGCCTGGGTGACCTTGGGCAAGCCACTTTTTATCCCTGGCCCCCACGCCTGCATCCGTGCCCACAGTTGGGCTTGTTCTGAGAACTCTTTAACCTCATGTATGTGGGAGTGCCCAGTCTGAGGAGGGGCTGAGCTGCTTAGCCAACGGTGGTTGTCAGTCCCGCGAAGGGAGCCAGGGATGGCGGCCTGGTTGGTCCCTAAGGCTGCTGGCGTGTCAGGAGGCCAGCTGCCAGGCAGGATAAAATCTCCCTCTTCCCGGAAAGGGTGATTCACAAACTGATGTTTCTTTTTTCCCTTTTTTTTTTTCCCCCCAGATACTGGCTGACCAACAAGGTCCACATCAAAAGACCCACCACCGGCCTGCTGATGTACACCCTGGCCACGCGGTTCTGCAACCAGATCTACCTCTACGGCTTCTGGCCCTTTCCGCTGGATCAGAACCAGAACCCCGTCAAATACCACTACTATGACAGCCTCAAGTACGGCTACACCTCCCAGGCCAGCCCGCACACCATGCCCTTGGAGTTCAAGGCCCTCAAGAGCCTGCACGAGCAGGGGGCTCTGAAACTGACTGTCGGCCAGTGCGACGGGGCCACGTAAGGTGGTCGCCCCGCGGGACTCAGTGGCTCACATTTCCTGCCAGCTACACCACAGGCAGATGGGAGTCGGGGTGGCACAAGCAATAGAAAAAGCAGGCTAGTGGTTTTCTTTGTTAAAGTGTAAAACAGTGACCAGAATATATATATCTATACCTGCATATATATATTGACCTGAGTATTTATAACTGTGTGGTGTTCATCTAGCATTAGGCAGATAAGCCACAAGAAGAAGGTGTGGAGAACCCACCTGAACCAGACTGAGACTCAGTCCATCTTTGGGGGCCGAAGGACTTGACGTGAAAAGAAGCTAGTCCCAAGACTTTGGATGAAAAACTGCCTCCTGGGTTGGAGGGATCTTTGGGCTCACGGATGAGTGGAGAGCCACCTGTTGTCAGCTGCCCCGAGCCTCTGGGATATACGGATTCTGGGTGAGCCAAGACCCAGAGGGGACGCTTGACCCAGCCTAAGGCGGGTGCTGTTCACAGAGGAGAGGGAGTTTAGAGAGTTCAACCTGGCAAAGGAGCACAATGAAACCAAGCGGCAGAGGCCGCAGGAGAGTTGAGGGCCTTGTTCTGCGAACTTAGAGTCTGACTGCCCGAGGGACAGACCATGGTGTCATGTCTCAGACAGGCCTCCACAGCCACAGAGAGAAGGCTAGAGGAGACATGATGGACAGTCCGTGTTCTGGCTTAGCAAGAGCCACCGAGAACTTTGGGTGAAACGGGAAGATGGCACTACGAGGTGGGGTGTTCCAAATCATGTTTTTGAAAAAAACCGAGACCTCCCTAAGGGAGCTAAGGGTTCGCTCCACCCCAGAATGAGGCAGAGGTGTGTCCAAAATACAGTGGTTGTGTTGTTGGTGTTCTTTAAAGTGACTTCGGTCTGTCGAGGAGGAAGAGGCCCTGGGATTTCACCCTCCACGTCAGTCTCCCTCTCACCCGGTTAGAATGTTGTCATGTGGGAGACACTACTGTCCTCCTCTGCCACCAGGGAGGCCACAGCAAGAGCCTGAAAGGGTACTCTCGAGATAAATGTCACCCTTCTTGAAATATACATGATTGCCTTTCTGGGCGCTTCCCAGAGCTCCCGAGCACGAGACCTGAAAGAATGTCAAGCATCTAGCTCCATATCTCTGCAACCGCTCTCTTTGTTTGCTTTCCGCATTCTGTACTCTGTGGGGCCTCAGCAGCCGGACTGCTGTGTCCATGTCACTTTCTTGTCACCTTGCTATCCTGATGGTCACACTAGCCCACACCGAGCACCGACTTTGCAGGGAGAGGTTCCAATGTCCACCCCACCCCCATCTTCCCACATGGGCGCTGATTTTAGAATTTTGCAAAATCCTTTTTCTTCCCCTATTAAGGTTAATGTTTAAGACTTAAAAAAATAATAATAATAAAACCCCAAAGCCAAATGCAGTTCCAAATACTGGACCTAATCTGCTGGGGAAATCTGGGCTCAAAGCCTGTAACTTAGAGGCTGGACTCATGGGTCACGCCAGAGAAGCGGTAGCCAGCTCCATGTGTTAGGTGCGTCCCTCGCCTGATAAATGACAGTGTTTAGAACGTGTTTGAAAGATAAGTTAAACACTATCTTGAAGGTGAAGAGAGTTAAGGGAAGTAATCAAGATCTGCTCCTAAGCATACCAGGCTGGACATAATTAATCAACGGCAATTCAGAACACGACATCGGCGCTAAATTAAGGGCTGACGGGAAACCCGTGGAGGAGGCGGAAGGAGACCCGGAACCATTAACCACACGCGACACTCCTGCCCAAAACCATGGCGACCACACATCTCTGCCTTTTCCCCCTTGCTGTTACTTGAAGTCTGAGATTTGGGATTTGCATTATAAAATGAATATTTAAAAGAGCAAACAGCCCTAACAGCCTCCCTGGGAACGGAGTGGTTGCGGACTCCTCAGGAGCAGCGGAAATAACGGGCGTCATATTTTACCCATCTCCAGAGTGTTTCATCTTGACGATCTCAAAGGTCCTAGAAGACGTTTAATTGCTAACGCTTGCAGTGCCCCGGGGAGCAGGTCGGATTTCTGGCAGGGTCTTGTTGGATTAGCCAAGGCCTTGGGTTCCAGAAGGTCCCATGGGGAGTCCTGAGGGGAGCCCAGGTGTCAGGTTCTGGAGCCGGCCCCAGCTCCGTCCAGCTGGACAGCACCCCACTCGGGGAGTCAAGGGCCAGAACTCTTCGGAGAACCAGAACATGCCTTTCTCTCCGTCCTGTCTTAGCCTCTGGTCCTTAAACTGAAACCGACGGGAGCTGGAGCGGAAGGAGCCCTTGGGACCTGCCTCGGGCTCTCTCTGGAGGCCCCAGGACCATCCTCACGTGCAGTTTTGCCCAGCTCAGCTTGAGTCCCGGGCTGCAACATGCCTTGGCCGCGATGGCCGGAGCTCCTGGGGCCTTGGCTGTCCCTGGCTGGCATCCTGCTCCATCTGGGCAGCACAGTTGGGAGGCCGCCTGGCCTTTCCTGCCTCTTACAGTCTCTGCTGTGGGCCAGCTGGCCTTGGGTGACCCCGGGGAGTCACCCTGGTCCAATGCCTTGTAGCTACAGCAGTCATGTTCCCTCAGCCTCAGCCCAGAGGGCGCCGTCCAAAATGAGGTCTCCCCTCAGAATCTCTCGCTTGCTCTCCTCCCCCTTCATCTGCTTCCCCACGTTTCAGAGGAAGCATCATTCCCCCCCCCCAGTTATATTTCCTCTCACAGGCTCAGCCTCTCTGCCACTACCCTGCCTCCTCCCCCACCAGCCTCCAGCCGCCTGCGTGCGCTCCTTCTACCCATCCTGGCTCCCTTGCCCTCTGCCCTCACCTCCAGACCTGGGAAGGGTCCCCAGCACCTCCCGCCGTGACTGCCCTTACTTGCTGCCACCCCTCAGCTCTCGGCCCTGCAGGGAGCCGAGGCCTGGGGTCCCTCCCTGAGCTCTGCGCCTGGCCTGGCTCCACAGCCACCCTCCTGGAGGGTCCCCGGCCCCCCGGCACCCAGGATACCACGTTCCCACGGTTGCTCTCCTCCCTTCCCCACCCCTCTTGGCCGTGTATTTATTTATATATTTATTTGTGTATTTATGATTTATTTATTGACACCCCCTACCTTGATCTAAAAAGGAGTCGAGGCAGATCTGAGCATTCCTTCCCTCTCCTCTCCTTGCCCCACAACGTGGACATGCCTCACTGGCGTCAGCATCCTCCCCTCGGTCCTGCGACACTGCCCATCAGCAACCTCGCGCCTGCCTCCCCGCTTCGCAGCCCAGCCCTCCCCCGAGCCCCAAGCTGGGATGGCACCTGCTTGGACACTCGCCCTGTCTTTCCTGGCGGCAACACCGTGAGCTCAGCACCTCTGAAGCCAAGGGGATCCTCTCTGCCTCCCCCTCCCCCACAATCCCTCCTTTGTCCCTCGACCACCCAGGCTGAGACCCTGACGTCATCTCAACTCCTCTCCCTCGGACTCCCTTGCTGCTCCTCCCCACTAGCACCAACCTCGCTGCTCCTTACTTGCTGGCCTCTTGGCCAGTAGACAGCAGTCCCCTCTCCCGGCTTCCCCCGTGCACGCGCACGCATCCTCCAGCCATCCTGAGCGTGCACGGCGATTTGCATCTGCAGCCACTCACAAACCTTCCAAAGTTCCCCTGACCCGTGAACAAGCATACGATTCTTCACCCTGACATTACAGACCACCCGAGAAGGCCTCATTCTTCCTTTACACCCTACGCTGGTCCGTCGGGAATAGCTGTTCTTTGAAGGGGCGCCTGCACTTCCCTGTCTGTGCCTTTGGTCTTGCTGTTCCCGTCTGTCCCCTGGAATGCCCGCTTTTGTTCCCTTCAAGGCCCATGCAGAGACCACGTCCTTCATGAAGCTCTCCCCGACCTACCAACCGCTGGGATCTCTCCCTCTGCTGAACCACCGTAGCACTTTATTTGTACCTTTCTCATGGCACTTACCATATTCTGCCTTGTATTATAGTTATTCGTGCACTTGTCCTAGGACCGTTCTTAGACTGTAAGCTCGCCGAGGGCAGGGACTGTGTTTTGTTCATCTGTATCCATCACTGCACTAGGCGTGGTGCATAGCACACAGCAGTTGCTCAATAAATGTTTGTTGGATTAAATCCTAATGCCTGTAGAGGGCTTTATAGTTAATGAAGTCATTTTGCATTCATAATGTCACAAGAACCTACAAAACATCATGTGGGTCGGGCCAAAGCAGGAAACATCGTCCCCATTGTATGGGTCATAAAACCGAGTCACAAACCTGTAGAAAACCTCGAAGTCACTGGTAGAATTTTCACCCAGGTTTGCTCATCCTCACTCCAGGGCTTTTTCTGTTCGTTGTTGTGGTTGGTGGCTGTAAACGGGAAGGTGACCCTAAGCCTGGTGCCGCAGGGCTGGGCACAGAGACTGGGCAAACCTCGGCGTGAATCCCAGCACATGCATGTGCCGTCAAAATCTCACTCCTTCCGGGTGGTGGTGTAGGGGGGACAAAAGCCATCTGGGTTTTATCAGGCCTGGGGAGAGGAGCGATAGGGCCTCATCAGTCATTCCCGCTGCTGTTGTCGCAGGGTAAGGAACCATCGGTCCAGATGGCAGAGAGACCAGCAGCTCCAAGGGGCTGCTGTTTGATACATCTCTTCATGCCTAATTAAGGCTCCCCTTCCAGAATGAATGGAACAGGGGTGTTTATTGATGCCAGTCATACGGGACTCCAGACATGCGTACTGCCTCGTGAACGCCCTTAATGGCGTCCCCAACGACACCGACAGCCTGCCCCAGCCCGCCGTCTCTCACCAACGCCGCCGGGTGCCATCTGCTCCCATGATCGTCCCATTCCTGGCTTCTTCTCCCCAGGGCTCTCCTCTTGGCACCCGCCAAGGGCAGGGCCAGCCCAGAGAGCTGAATGGCAGCTTTCTGCTTGAGTCCCTGAACCCTGACCCTGAGCGGTGCTGTCAGATGGCAGGAAGGGACAGAATCGGGAGCTCTATGACACCCCTAGTGGAAGCCAAACACAAACAGGCTTCTGCTCTGGTGGTACAACAATGGGAGGTTTCCATGGTTACTGTCTAGAAGCAATATTTTAGTTGTTTGGGGGCTTTATGGTGGGGGTAGTTTAATTTCCATCCTTAGCAGTCCCAGGGGTGGGGCAATTCCACGCACAGTGCATAGAACCTGGATCCAGCCCCAGATCATAGTTTGTCTAGAATCATCCTTGTTGTCGGCAGCCAAAGCCCAATGGAGCCACCCAATGAGAACGCCAAAGATCTCTTGTGTCTTTCTCAGTCTTCCTCACCCCCTCCTCGGCCATCCCACCTTCCCCCTGAACCTGGGGTGGGAAATGGGGCTCCCAGGGGGTTCTAAGAACTAGGTCAAGAAAGACCTCAAATGCTCCAGCCACAACAATATTTTGAAATGTCAAAGTGGCCTCTCCAAAACTGACCTGGCACCAGCTGGGAGCAGCCAATCCCCAAGAACTAATAAGAAAATGAGGCCAGACTGCCAAGAAGTGGGGAAACTGCCACGTAGCCATGTGGACCCCGGCAGGACAAGTCCATCCGGCTGCAGGAGGAGCGCAGACTTGCAGGCATCATACTAAGGTGAGCTAAGTGGGGTTGGCGCAGGAAACGCCCCTTTAATTTAGTTCCCAGAGCCTTAATTTTCTAAAACGAGACTGCTACACTGTAGCTTCTACAGAAAGCCAGGGGAGGGTGACCCCCCCATTAGAACCAGGAGTGCTTAAGGGAAGTGGGTCACTGCAAGGACACCACTCTGGGGCGAGCTGCTTTGCTAACAAAGGTGGTGAGAATGTAACTCGCTGTAACGACCAGGGTGGGACAGGTTGCTTGGCTGGGTCTTGCGCTCTGGGCAAGAGCTCTGGGATGAACACCAGATGATCTGCACGCCTGCCACTCAGGAACCTCGGCGACACAGATGAGGCTGCACAGCTCTGGTGTTTTCCCATCTGTAAGGTGGAGAAGACACCCACCTACCTCCTTTACAGAGTTATTGCGAAGATGCAAAAATAGGTGCAGGTAGAGAAATTGGGCTGGGGGCAGCGGGGAGGCTCAGTGCTCTGGAGCAAATGAAACGTGCGCAGCTGTGAGTGTTCAGGATTCTGCCTGGCCAACATCAGATCGAGTCGTTGCCTGCTTAAACCCATCCGTGGCTTTCCTTCACCCTTGCGGGGAGACTGTGAGCCTCTTACCATGGCTTATGAGGTCTTGAACGTTCCTCCCTCTGGGTCACTGTTGTTCTGGCCTCAGGGCCTTTGCACTTGCTGTTCCCTCTGCCTGGAAAGCTGCTCCCCAGCTCCTTGCATGGGCCTCCTCCTCATCTTTCAAGCTTCAAATTGAATGTCACCTCCTGGGGAGTCCGTTTCTGGTCTCCGTCAGCTAATTACTTTCTGTTACACACCACATTATCCTGCGAGGTGGTCTTCATAAACTATCTACATTATCGCATTTATTTTGCAGTTCTCAGCCCCACGCAGCTTTATAAAAGATCCCAAATGCTCAGTCCGCACTCCAGACACGTGTGATCAACATCTCCGGAAGCTTATCACGGGCCTCCTCCTAGCACACAACCAGGAGTGCTCGCTTGTTTAGCATCCGCTTGCCCTTCTAGGATATTCCAGGGGGACTTGTTTTCCACAAGGGTCACCTGTGCCCTGGGTGGTGGAAGTGGCCGTTCTCCAAGGTAATTGTTAATGACTCTGTCTGGGGTGCTGGCAGCAGGCTGGCAATGTGACCGCAACCCCAGCACTCTCGATAGGCACAGGCTGGCTTTGAATGTCCCACAGGTGGCACTTTTTCCCTTGTGGCTGCAGGTAGATGTCCGGTGTTTGTACCCCTTTAGCTGAGCTGGTGGGGGCAGTCTTTCCAATTGGACCCACTCGGAAAACTTCACGACTCTCACCTTACACGGGAAGCTCCTTCCTGGCCCGGGGGGACATGAGAACCCCACCCCACCCCGAAGACCTTTACCGGTTCAGCTGCACATTGGAACCACTTGGGGGGGGCTTTAAAAGCCCCTGAAACCTGGGGGTTTTGATGCCATTGGTCTGGGGTGTGGCCCAGGTATCTCTAGAAGCTCCCCAGGTGGCACCAGGTACAGCCCTGCAGGGAACCCAGGCCTGGTGTCCGAAGCCCCACAACCTCTTATGTGGCAGCTCCTCTCGGGCCCCTGGTTTAAATGAAGTCTTTCTCTTATCTCTGGCTTCTGAGGTTCCCCTTCCTTGATTTCAAGCCTAGGTCTGTTTTGTCTGATGGGTTACATTGCTATTGCTGCCGTGTCAGTCACATCCAGGACTCTGCACTGCTGCGAGTCTGCAGCAGGAGGAGAAGCCTGTCCACCACGTCACCTGCCTCCCCACGCAAGCTCCGTGGGGACAGGGCCTTGTCTGGCATGTTCACGGAGGGGTCCTCACCTGCTAGAACTGTGCCCAGCACAGAGTAGGCACTTAATAAACTCCTAGCACATGCACAAAAGAATGAGTGTGGACTATGCAGACATGTGAGTGCTCCTCACCAATCCCAGAATGAGAGGGAGTCCCACTTAATGGCATGGAGCAGGGGTCGCCCCCACTTGCTCAGCTAGGCCATGCCTCCCGGGCCCTGCATGCGACGATTTCCATAAGGCTTATCCATACAATAACCACCCCGTGTGTGCTGCTGCTTCCATCTCACAGATTAGACAACCAAGGACCTCAGAGGCTAAAGACTCATTTAAGACGCCAAAGTGTGAATGGGTGGTTGGTTTCATGCCAAAGCCAACAGTGTTCACACCAGCCCATCCAGAAAGCCCCCGAAGGCCACTGAATTCTGTCAACCCTCAGCCATGTTGTCATAGTGTGATCCTGCCCACGGGAGGGAGAGCAGGAAGTACGGACAGAATCCCCCCCCCCCCCACTGCTGGGACTCTCAACAGGCCACTGCTCTCCCCTGGCTGCCATTGGCGGAGCTGATGCAGACCCAGACACACCTGCACAGCAAAGTCGATTGTCAAATGCGCCCCTGCCAGGTGTTCAAGAGTCACAGCTCTGAGCTCCCCACGTGCCCTGTGCTGCAGCTCGGTGGCCAAGGGCCATTCTAACTGGTCAGGGCCCCTCTCTGGGTAAGGAAACACTTTGCATATCGCCCCCGCTCCCAGACCCTCCAGGCAAGAGACCTCTGGGCGTTTGGACCACTGGGCAGGACACCAGAGCCTCCCCGCCCTGGTGTTCTCGTGGCAACCCCTCCTGGAGAAGGGACCGGCTTTCCTCTTTCCTGTTTTCCATGGACGTATCCTTAACCCAAAGCAGACATTCTGCGTAGCTCAAGCGAGTGCAGATTGCAAATCCACCAGTGGAGCCATCGAGTGGCACAAAGAGAGGCATCTTACCAGGACTGGTGACAGGCAAGTGATCGCCTTGAATAGTCTCTGTTCAAAGCACATTGAATCAATGCTTCACGTGGACTAACTCAGTGCTCGCAGCCACCCGCTGGAGGGAGATGCTGTTATTATGCCCACTCCAGAGAAGAGGAAAACTGAGGAAAAGAGGTTGATTAACTTGCCCAAGCTAGGAAGTGGTCGAGCTGGGATCTAAACCCAAGCCCCTGGGCCCCAGAGTGACGCAGAAAGTGTACCCCCAAGGCTCTGGGGGCTGCATGAGTGGCCAGTGAGCAAGCCAGCCAGGTCCCACAGCAGGCTCGGCCCTCCTCACCCCTGCTGTCACCCCCATGCTCATCAGTGCAGTGCCAGGGACAGGCTCCGTCTACACAGCCCTGGCCCGTGGCTGCCGCCGCCACCGCCTTTGCAGCTGGGCAGGGAAGCTGACCCTGCTCCTCTGCACGCCTCAGCCCACGTGGCCCCAAGTCTGGGGACAAGATGGGGGTGGCCAAACCACAGGCCACTGGGAAGAGAGAGCAGCCTGGGAGTGAGAAGTGAAACCAGCAAAGCAGAGGACGGAGCAAATGAACCCAGCGGGCTGTGAAAGGGCAGGCGATCGTCCTTGAACACTGCAAGACGCTACTGGTTGTCCTGGTCAGGAGCTCCACTCCAGCAGCCTGCCTCGAAATTAGGGGTTTGCACCAGGCTGGGTTACAGCAGAGAAGGGGCCCCCAGCCCTTTTTTGCTGCATAAGGGAAACCAGGGGACCCCCAGTGGCCCAGGCCCTGCCCCTGCCTCCTCACTTCCTGTCCAAGCAGCGTCTGTCCAGCCACACACCTCCTGCCTCTGTTTCCTCACTGGGAAACTGGGAGTAGGAAAATCTGCCTGGCTCAGTAGCTCTTGTGATTAAACCAGACAAGGAGCCTGGAGCTCTTCACTGGCTGTAACATTAGATCCTGACAACTCACTTCCTTCCCCTCTGGGCCGCTGCCTCAGGCCAAGGGGGCAAAAACTCGTTTGTGGTGAGTTCTGCCCGTCCCCTCCTGGCTCAGCCTGCCTTCTTCACTGGTGTTGAAGCAAGTGGGTAAGGCCTGGCATGCAGTAGGTGTCCAATAATGAATGAATGCCTGTTGAATGAGTGAATGAATGCTTCCCAGTTTCCTGAAATCATTCCCCTCTGGCTACTCGACAGGTGGGTTCGGTTTTCATGCCTGAACAAGATAGGTACGTTTCTCTGCCTCCCTCTACCTGAGAGCTACAGTGACGTGGCCTGATTACAGGACGGGGGATGAACACAGAACATAAAACGACGACACAGATGCACAAGGACGTGACAATGACTCGAGTGACCAATGCACCGGTCGCTTTACTTTTATACCCCCCAGACCCAAGGTTAGTTCTTTGTATGTGAGCAACTGAGCAGAGCAGCGATATCAGTCAATTCCAGAGTTGGATCACAAGGGAACAATGGTCTCATGTTCTCAGACCTCTAACGGTTACTCAAGTTAAGGTGCTCAAAAGCCAAGGCCAAGAGAGGCAACATAAAACAATGCAGCCATTTGAAGTTCTTTTTGGTCTCAATCCCAGGCG